ATGAGCGTACTATGTGTCTTTAATCTTCAAAGGCAGTCCCCGTGCTCAATAAATTCGTAGGCGCCCTTCTTTTTAAGTCTTCCGGGTAGTCTATTGTCGTCGAAATTCTCCCTTTTTTCGTGGCTTTTCCAGTAAGTAACGCGAGCGCTATGGCCCTGGCAGTTCTAACGTCTTCCTGATTGTACTCACACCAAAACTCATAACGCGAGCGCTATGGCCCTGGCAGTTCTAACGTCTTCCTGATTGTACTCGCACCAAAACTCAACGGCCGTTTCCTGTCTCGAGTTAGATTTACGATGTGTTTTTGTTCTTTTCTTGTTGAATGGTTGGCATTAAATGTTGCGAGGAAAGGGTTAGTGGGTCAGTGGCGGCAGGATTTCGCCTTGTTGGTAGGAAATTAGCAAGTATGGAAAACTCGTGCAGAGAGGCTGCCAGGTCCTTCGGGAATCCCCATGGTTTTTTTGCATTTTTCTTCCCTGGAGAGTTATTTAGTGAATATATGTTTGTAAGTGGAGGACACCACCCGCAATATTCAGTCGTGGGTTTGTCTTTACACTGATACTGATTCATGCTTTGCTCCAGCGTACGCCAGCGTACAGCAGCGTTTCCATAGTTTTGCTCAAGCTCAACTTGCTCGCGGAAACGCTGGCACACGCTGGCGCTCACTAGGTTCGATATCCATACTTTCCTGGTCGCTGGCGTTGGCGTACGCTGACACAAAGTATGAACGCAGCCTTTAGAACTTTTTCAGTGTTTAGGTCCTTTTCGCAGCTTCGCCCGGCTTGATTACTTACAACACTTTTTTCAGATGATGAAGTAGGCGATGGTGACTCTGAGTTCACGGATGGTGCCTCCGGTACAGGCGAATCTAACTCTGGGTGTGTCAGTTTCTTATATTTTCTTACATACAACTCAATGGAAAAAATAGCTGAGTGAAATTTCAAAAACACCGGCTCTAACAGTTTTGCTTTGAAGAATTTCATCCTCAGTTATTTTCTTTAGTTGAAAGATTCATTACCTGGCCACTAACTAATACAGCCAGTAAGGAAATGTTTCACTGTTGAGCTGCTTCATTTTAGAGAGGACGATGATCTGGACGATGTCAGCATGCTGCCAAGTGCTCACGGCGCATCTAATGGCGACGATGATTTTCCCGATCTCTGCGAAGAGATAGATGTCGATGCCATGAGGCGAGCTGCTGCTGCCGCTACCAATGCCGTCCTCTTCGATGAAAATCCACACGAATCGCCTGTAATTATCAGTTCACCTCCAAAGCCTGGAACTACAAAAAGCGTTGACGTTTCGAATCGAGCAGCTGTAGAAAAGAATGGCAAATCGTCTGGAAGTTGTCGTACTACCGTCAATGGTGATCGACGAGATGGTAGATTTAAGTGCTCATCCAACAGCTACAGAGGAATTATGGTCACGGAGCATTTTTTGTGTGTAAAACAGATGATTTTCCACTTTAGAAGCACGACGTCATCATCGCTACGCGGACCGACATGAACGTAGATCGACACGACATTCGCGAATACATCGGAGTGGATCCAGAAATAGAGACGATCGGCATCGTCAGCAACGTGCTTCCTCGAGAGAAGCTCGATCGTCTGCGTCGGGACACTCGTACCACCACGAGAAACGCGCTTCATCAAGAGAAGCTCGGCCGTCCACGTCGGGACACCCGGGTCCACCATGAGAAACGTGCTTCATCGAGAGAAGCTCGACCGTCTGCGTCGGGACACTCGGGCCACCACGAGAAACGTGCTTCATCGAGAGAAGCTCGACCGTCCACATCGGGACACTCAGGGTCACCATGAGAAACGTGCTTTTCTTATTCGTGGGCCGTTCACAGTACTGTTCTCGCCTTGCAAGCTATCATTGGCGAACTGCGAGCTGTCGCGAATGGTGTCGAACAGTGAGATTGGAGTTGATGGCCGTTTCGTGTCCAGTCCATTAACGCACATGTCCAACAACGATGGAATCTTCTCTTTGACGCCCATGGCTAAATGAATCTAATTTCGCGCACGAACTGTTAGCGAGCGCTCCTTCAATGAAAAGCCGAGAAAAGACATATTCAGAAGAAATTGCAACGGCGTGTAACATGGACAATTTATACCAACCGGTCCCATTCCTCTGCTGTTGATTGTTCGACGACTTCCGTTGTGGTGATTTGCTCCTCCGTTTGGTACTTTGTTCCGAATCGCGATTTGATTCATGATCTCTTCTCCTGGGCGATCCAAATGTAGAAGAGCCATCTTTGTGATGATGGTGAGCTTGTGCGGGAATCTTTCCTCTTTGAAGGAGACGAGGTTTTGCTATACCTGCTGGGTCCGTCCGGTTTGTCGCCATTTCCATCATTCAAATGAGACCTACGCTTTGCTGAATCGGGATTCACAGTTCCAGAGGTATTCTTCGCCATTGGGTCATCATCGCAGACTGCTTTGGAAGTGGATCCAGGATCTGATGATGAAGCAGTAGGTTCCTCTTCGTCGACCTGACACCACCCACGAGCTAACGGTCCTCTTACGGAAATTATTTCCGCATCTTCTTTCGTGTCATTCTCCAGGGAGTCCAAATAAGCAGAGATAGACGGTCGCACTTCTCTTGACGAAGCATTTTTCTCATAATGATCCGAGCGCCCCGACGTAGACGGTCGTATTTCTCTTGGCGAAGAACGTTTCTCATGGTGACCTGAGCATCCCGATGTGGACGCTCAAGCTTCTCTCGATGAAGCACGTTTCTCGTGG